TGCCAGGACAAGGAACCAATTTGCCTTGGAAGTCCAACCAGGATGCCCCTTAGAATTGAGGATGGTGAGACTTCATGTCCTGTCCTTTGAACATGTTATCAAGAGGAAGCAGACCCTGGAGAAGGTCGTCATGCTTGGTATAGTAGAGAGTTAGCAAAACAAAACAAAAATGGAAACACAAGACTCAACAAGGCGGATGGACACAGTCGCCGCAACAATAGCTTCAGTTACAGCAATTGTTGTACATTGTGCGCGTAGCTCAGGACTGGGCCGTGGTTCATTCTGTTGTCCTTAAGGCTGCTGCCATTGGGAACCAACTTGACAACATCCACCAACAACAACACAAGTTGTAGTGCTCATTCTTGTCACCTCTTCGCTCCAGCTGCGGAGATCTTGGCATCCTCCTCCGAGGGGAGGGGTGGGCATACCTGCATCTGACTGAATCTTTTCCAGAGTCCCACTTACACTTTTTGTTGTTGTTGTATATTTATTTGGTATCTAACTAACCTTGCCAAAACCTTTCACCGGTTCTAATAGCTTGTATATCATGTTGGGTTTTCTGTATAAACAATCGTATTGTCTACAAATAAGGGCAGTTCCCCTTTCTTCTAGGTCTTCCATCTCATTTTCATCATCTTGGGCAGTACTTACTAGAAGATCTGATACAGACAACCTTAGCCTGTCTTCACTTTACTAAGAATGCCTCAGGAGTCCTGGGGTGGCACTGTAGGGTAAGCACTCGACCAGCCACAAGGTGGGCATTGTAAACTCACCAGCCACTCCTCAGAAGCCCAGTCCAGGGTCACTGTGAATTAGGACCGACTCAATGGCACTTAACAACAGTAACAAGAATGCTTCTAGTCAGAACAGAAGTTGAAGGATGTTTCTAGTCCCCCCGTTAAGTGTGTTCTGAGACTGTCTTTTTTATGAGGCAAACCAGACAGGGAGGGTACCTGGTTACAAACAGCAGAATCCACAGTAGTTGATTTTAGCAGAAAGGGATTTTTGCCAAATGTGTAGGCAGTTGGAGAATGACTAGGAAGGACTCCGAATCAGGCTTATTTGCTATGGTGGTGGTGGTGAAGTGCCAGTGAGTCGGTTCTGACCCATAGTGACCCTGTATAGGGTTCCCCAGGGGCAGCTGGTGAGCTTGAACCACTGACCTGATGGTTCAAACCAACTTTGCAGTCCGGCACATTAACCCATGGTGTGCCACACCGGTCCTCAAACATACCCTTGGCACCACTGTCCCAGGGATAGTATATATCATACACCAAGATGCCCACATTTGGGTACCACTCTCCCTAAAGACAGTCCTACTGTCGCTGTAGGATAAGCACTGGGCTGTTAACCGAAACCCACCAGTCACTCCTTGGAAACCCTACAAGGGCCGCTGTGAGCTGGAACTGACTCAGCGACACTTACAACAATTCCCCAAAGAACCAACACCATGGTCCTTGTACTCCCTAGAAAACCTGTTCTCCCTGCATGAACTGCCTCCTCAAGGAACAGGCCTCTGCTTATTCAGAAACCCAGGTGAGGGGTCAGCTGTAGCTGCAAGGAAGTCTGAAAAGGTGATTTTAGTCCCGGAAGATAATAGTAAACACTGGGTGAGTTGTTTCAGCGCCTGCCACACCAGGTTCCCAAGTTTTCTCTATTCCTCATTTGCTGAGTTTTCACCGTGAAAGACGGTCTGATTTTGTGAAATACTTTTTCAGTCGCTATAGAGATGATCACGGGTTGTTTTCCTTTCTTTGATCTTTAATCTGTAAAGTACTGTAGATGATAGTCTGATGGTAAACCACAGCACATTGTTTTCATTCCACCAAGAAGCTCAATTTGTTTTTGTAGCTTTCCTTTGTGGGTGAGGGACCCTGTCAAGCTGCTGCTACTCTCAGCTGCTAGTCAGAAAGGTGGCAGTTTGAAGCCATCCAGTCGTGCCATGGAAAACAGGCCCAGTGATCCCTTCCTGTAAGATTGTTGTTGTTAAAGTTGTCGAGTTGTAGCCCACTCATGTTGTTGTTAAAGTTGTTGAGTCGAGTTGTGTCCAACTTATGTTGTTGTTAAAGTTGTCGAGTTGTCTCCCACTCATGTTGTTGTTAAAGTTGTCGAGTCGTGTCCAACTTATGTTGTTGTTAAAGTTGTTGAGTTGTTTCAGACTCATAGTGACCCCATATATGGTTTCCAAGGAGTGACCGGTGGGTTTGAATCACCAGTTTTGCAGCTAGGAGTCCAGTGCTTATCCTATAGCACCCACAGAGTCCAGTTCTCCTCTGAAACATGGGATCCTCGTAAGTCAGAATGAACTCCAGTGGTTTTTTTGGGGGGGGAGGTTTTGCATTAGTTTCTTCACAGGGACATCCAGGTACCTGTCCACGCTCTCTGCGTGTCCTGGTCCACATGTCCTGGGGACTTGGCCCAGGAGCTAGACCTCAGTTCCCAAGGGGGCAGAGCACAGAGTCATAGTCTCATCCCATTGGCTCCAACTTAGTGACCTGCCAGGCCTCAGTGCAAGGCTGTTGGGATACATGGTCAACCAAGGGAGCGTGGGAGAACTGCCCAGGGGACACTCACTGTCTCTGCCCTGCTCTTGGGTGAGAAGTGCCTACTTCATGCAGTTTTGTTTGCTGATCCTCCTCATGGATGTTTTGGAATCTGTCTCCTAATTTCCTTCTTTCTGCTTCCTTAAGATTTCCTTTTTTTTGAGATCTACTTTATTATTCTGCCTCCTCAAGTTGAGCGCCCTTTCTGGGTTACAGCTTCATTTGATTCTGTAACTTTTCGTTGTGAATTGAGTGAAGGTTTATAGAGCAGCCGTTTTCCATCCCATAATTCATACACATTCTGTTTCACGCCATCGACTGCGTGGTCCTCACAACCTGCCATCACTCATGTCACCCACTTCCTCCCTGTGCTTCCTCGGCCATTCCTTCTAAACACAGCCCTTGGGTAACTACTGCTCTTTGGATCTCAACTGGCTGCCTGTTCTGACATCTTTGCTTTCCATAAATACTTGTTGGGCAGGGAGGGACCCACTGACAGGGAGGCTGCATCAGGCAGCCAGTGGATGGGGGCCTGTGCGGGGGTGGAGCGGCCAACGCATGCGCAGCACTTTAGCCTCGGCTGCCCATGTGTGCATCATGAGTATCCCAAGGTGCCTCTATAAACTTCGTTTGATTTCCTCTTGACCCCGGTCGTCTGTGAGGACGCTCTGAGTCCATGGTCGGAAAGGCAATTGGCTGCAGCTTTCTCCTCACACATCTTTGTGTGAAATAAACGTGACAAAGTTAGTGTCCACCACGTTGAAGGGTGCACCGGAGTGCAGGTGCAGGTCCAGTGGCGTGTGAATGTCGTCAGCACTATTTCCAGGACGTTCAGCTCTTCCCAAACAGAAACTTAGTGCCCCTCAGGCTTGGGAAGAGCCCCTTTTGCCTTTCTGTCGTACACCTCTGCCTCTTCTGGACGCCTCACATCAGTAGAGTTACACGAGACTTGTCCTTTTGCATGCGGCCTGTTTCCCTGAGCTGTTTTCAATGGTCCATTGTTATGAGGGTGCACAGTGTGGGCCCCCCCACTCCCCACAGGGGCCAAGATTTCAAGAGGCCTTCCCATTCTCCGTATGTCTAAGACTCACCCACAAATGTCTGCTGAGCTCTTGCGGGTGGGCTGTCCAGCTAGGGCCTGAAAAACGGGGTGGAGGGAGAAGTCTCAGGGGCTTTAAGGACCCAGAAGCCAGGGAGCTGGTAGCTGACCAGGCCGCAAGCACAGGGCACTGGAGCCCAGGATGGAGCATCCACCACTGCCGCCCAGGATCTTTGTGCCCAGAGGTCAGCGTGGTCAAGCCGGGCCCTGAGCCTGGTGCTCCATCCAGATGGCTCAGCCAGCATCCAGAGTTGGGGGTGTGGATGGGGAGTCTTCCTGGGGAGCTGGGGAGACAGGGCACGGAGAAGCACACCCCCAGCATGGATGGGAACAGCATGGCAGGTGTAGGGGGCAGCCTTGGATTGTGGGGAGCCTGGTGGAGGAGGACTTCAGACCTATTTCTCCCCCAACCCCTCCGAGAGAGGCTGCCTGGAGGTAGGGACTACCTCTACAGATGACGGGCTGTGTAATTTGCGAGACCCAGTATCATGTGATAAGGAGCTCTGGTAGCGTAGCGATTACGAATCGGGCTGCGAACCTCAAGGTCAGCAATTCGAAACTACCAGCTGCTCCGCGGGAGAAAGATGAGGCTTTCTGCTCCTGTAAAGATTTACAGCCTCGGAAACCCTGTACAGGGTCGCTATGGGTCGGAACCGACTCCACGGCACTTAACAACAATAACAACAACAGTATCATGTGATAACAGGGTTCTTGTTCAAAACTTACAAGAGTTTCAGACCTGGCCACAGAGCACTTATCTGAAGGAGTGGCCTTGTGACTGCCTGAGGGGGGGGGGGGAAGGGGAGGGGGGCAGATGTGAGGAGGGAGGCTAAGAGAGGGAGGACTCAGAAGTCACTGACTGATTGGTAGTGAGGCAGTAGGTGGGAACCTGCCAGGATCTGGAGTGGGCAGGTGAGGAGTGGCAGAGAGCCTGAGGATCTCCCTCCCTGAGCTCTGAACCTGGACTTGACATCTCAGCATGTGTGGATGTGTGTATAGGAGTGGGGGGCGAGTCAGAGGAGCTAATGATGGCGCCCAGGGCAACGGAAGAGGGATCCGGAGAAGAAGCAGGGTGAGAAGCGAGATGCCCGGGGAGACCCCAGAGGTGTCCCGTGAGCTGGGCAACCTGGGGGCACCAAGTAGCATTACGAGGCCCTCACCCTCAGTCTTTGCCTTCCCTCCCCTCTGGACTCCTCCACACTTCCTGTGCTGCTCCCCTGCCCTCAGCTCAGCCCCAGGTTTCTGGAAGGGGCATCTTCTCATCCCCTCGAATGAGGTTCTACTGTGCAGCTGTTGGAGCCTGGCCCTCCCAAAAGCCCTCAAGGGTGGAAGGGGCCCTGACAGCTATGTCCCTACAGGCCTCCATGAACCCCAACGACAACAAACTGGACGAAGACATGTGCCAGACCCTCACACAGCGCTACGTGAGCATCATGAACCGGCTGCAGAGCCTGGGCTACAATGGGCGGGTGCATCCAGCAATGACCGAGCAGCTGGTGAATGCCTATGGCATCCTACGTGAACGCCCTGAGCTGGCCGCCTCCGAGGGTGGCTCCTACACTGTGGACTTCCTGCAGCGAGTGCTGGTGGACACTGTACACCCCACCATGCTAACCGATGCCCTGCTGTTGCTCTCCTGCCTCAGCCAGCTAGCACATGATGATGGCAAGCCCATGTTCATCTGGTGACACCCCAGATGCAGCCATTAAAGGTCCCATGGCCTCTGGCCACTCTAGCCATGTACCTGCCTCCTCTGAGTAGTGGGGAGGGCTTGTGGTCACGCCCCAGTGCTCTCCTGTCCCACCTGCTCCTGGGGTCCGTGTCCACCTAAGACCGTCTCGAGAGCCCAGAAACCCAGGTTGGTCCCAGGCTCCCCATCACCTGGTCATGGGGTCAGAATGGACCCCAAAACTCCCCGTGGGAAGAGCAGAGGATAGGAAGGACCTGGCAGCAAAAGGCTGTGGCTCAGTGCCCACTGGACTTCAGGGAGTTGGACAGGGATAAGGCCTGGGAGTGGAGGGGAGAAAACAGTCATATCCAAATTTAGGCATGGGGCAGCCCAGGGAGGTAGGACGCTTTGCCGAGATACCTGAGGTCCCAGAAGAGGAGCTCACGTCACAGCTACAGCATCCGTAAGGACCAGGGTGGGAACTCAGAGCTGTGAGCTTGGGCACCCCCCCCCCCCACACCCTCTGTGGGGCTGAGGAGGGCAAGCAGGAGGGCAAGGCAGAGCAGAGGAGAGAGAGGGGGAGTGGGGTCCAGGAGGGTGAGCTGCCCGTAGTACAGATGAGGAAGGGTGCTGGGAGCTGAGGGGGGAGGGCCAGGGGGCAGTGTAGGAAAGTCTGGAGGTTGGTGTGGGGCCCACCCAAGAGGAGGGATGCGGTGGATTTGTTGAGGAAGCAATCGCACGTCAGAGGAGGGGATCACGACAGCAGCTAATGAGGGGTGCAGAGAGAAAAATTGGTGCCAGGGCCTCAGAAGCTTGAGGCTCTCTGTCCTCCCCACTCCCAGACTCCTGCGCCTCTTGCTCAGTCCCTTGAAAGGACAGGAAAGGATGGCAGGCCCCAAAGGCACCCTTGGGGCAGCCCGGACCTGCGGCGCTACCTTCCGGATTCCGGAGCACGGGCCAGAAGAAGGGGCGCTGCTGGCTCGCGTGGCGCCAGGCGACTGGCAGGGCAGAAGGAACCAACGGTCTCTTCCCCCCAGAATAGGGAGTTCCTTGAGATAGGGTCACAGGACCGCCAACAATGTGGGCGGGCCTTTTGGGGGCTCAGCTTAGCGCTGAGCAGAGAGCGTCAGAACACTCCGCCAACCCCCTTTGAGGACTGTGTCTTTGAACACAGGCGCCAAATACCACGACTTCCGGCCAGTGTGTTGGGTGCGGTGAACCCCACGGTCTGGGCAGCTGGAGAATTCTACATCTCCACACCACCGGGCAAGGGTTGCCCTCAGCAGAGTCTCTCCACACACAGACCTCCGCGCCCTCACCCCCGCCAAGACCTTCCGGAGAGAAGGGGGCGGAGCTAAAATGACTGAGGGCGGGGCCGCAAGGCCAGGGGCTCTTTCGTTTTCCTTTTCGTTTTCTCCTAGAGTCTCCGAAGTTTTGCGCTCAAAAGGAAAGAGGAAACCTTCTATGTGAGCTTTACTCCCCCTGCGCCCGTGTCTCCAGGCTCCCCGGGGCACTGCACCTCGGCCTCACAGGCCGGCCGCGCCGCGTTCCCACAGACGTATCGAGGAGTCGGCTTACAAGCTGCAAGCGAATGAGCCCCCCCAGCGCCCACAGCCAACCTGCAGCGGGCCATGGAATCCCCGCCTGACTGGCCCCCAGCGCTTGATGCCCTGCGCCCTTCGCCCTTTCCTAACTCCATCCTGCATGCCCTGCACGGCCTGGGCCGCATGCTGCTCTTCCCAGCTTACTGGGCTCTGGACCAGCTACTGGGCTACTGGGCGCCGACGGCACGCGTGGGCATCCTGGGGAGGCTGAGCGCTGTGGTGTGTGCTGGAGCGGCGCTGCTACTGCTGCTGGCCTGTCTGCCCCTGGCGCTGCCGGGTCTACTACTCTGGCTGTTGCTGCAGGCCTGGCGCCGCCCCTTCTGCTACCAGCCCCCTCCACAGTCCTGGGCGCCACCCCAACCCTGGCGCCCGCGCCTTGAACCTAAGCGCTGCTTCGGCTTCCTCAGCGCCAACCTGTGCCTGCTGCCTGATGGACTGGCACGCTTTAGCAACCTGCCGCACACCCAACAGCGGGCCCAGGCTGTGGGCACCACGCTGCTCGCCGGCCTGCGGCCCTCTCGCTATGGAGCCACTGACTGCAGCCCGTCGCAAGCCCGGGGGCCGCGCGGGGTGCTAGCGGCCACATTGCCCACGGGCCTGGACTTCGTGTGCTTGCAAGAGGTATTCGACCTGCGCGCAGCGCACCACCTTGTCCGCCGCCTGGCGCCTAACCTGGGCCCAGTGTTGTACGATGTGGGCACGATGGGCCTGCAGCCCGGGATGCACCTCAAACTGCTGGGCAGCGGGCTGCTCCTGGCTTCGCGTTTCCCTTTGCTACACGCAGGCTTCCACTCCTTCCCCAATGGGCGCCGGGAGGACGCCCTAGCCTCCAAAGGACTGCTGTCAGCACAGGTACAGGAAGCCCACCCCACCCCCAGGGGGCGCACACCGTGGCCTAGGAGGAGGTGGGCAGTTCAGTGAGACTGGGTGGTGGAGAGGAGCTGGACCATGTATCTGTACTGTTGCAGGCACAGCTGGGTATCCTGGATGGGCGCCGCATTGTGGGCTTCCTGCACTGCACACACCTGCATGCGCCCAGAGGTCAGCCACCCGCCCCCATTCTATCCCAGCTGTAGGTTCTAACATAGGCTGGAACTTCTGCAAGCCACCCCTACCCCTATCACCTTTGCTTGCCTCCAAGGGTGCTGCAAGCCCCCAAGAGTGCCTGGGTGGGGTCTGTAGTCCAAGCCCCAGCAGGGAAAGGCCTCCAGGGGGCAGATCTGTATCCTGCGCTAAGTCCTCTTCCTGGCAGACGATGGAGCAGTGCGCAGCGAGCAGCTAACGCTGCTGCTGGACTGGGCTGAGCAATTTGAGGCCGAGAGTCGGCAGAGTGGCGATGTGGTGGCTTTCAGCGTACTCCTGGGAGACCTGAATTTTGACAACTGCTCCCAAGGTACGGAAGGGTGAAGGGTAGGGCTCAGGGCTAGGATAGGGCAGCCCATTAAGTGCATCTGTCGCTACAGGAGACAGCTGTGAACAGAAGCATCGGCTCTTCAACTGCTTCCAGGACCCCTGCCGGCTGGGTGTACGCCACGAACAGCCCTGGGCCCTGGGTACGGTCCAGGAGGTTGGCGGGTCTGGGGAGCGCCCCCAAACCAGGCTTGCACTGACATCTCCCTCTCCTCCCACCTCCCCCTCCCAGGGACACTGTTAAGCCCTCCTCTGCTCCACCACTCAGAAGCCAGCTCCCCAGAAATGCTGTGCAGGTAAGTGGCAGACCTGGGTCAGGTACCAACGGTGCAGGAGGGGACTGCACCCTGGCTTTGGTAACACTGCCCCCTCTCCCAGGGCCCTGGAACAACAGGAAGGGCGGCGCCTGTATCTGGCCGGTACTCCTAGCCACCATCACTCTACAAAGGCCTGGCAAGGCCGCCGCCTGGACTACATCCTGTACCGGGGAATGCCTGGGGCCCCCCTCATCCCGGTGAGGACCAGAGCTAGGGCAGGAGGGGCAGGCCAGCCGGGGGGCCAGTCACCCTCAACTTGACTCCCGCCCACAGGAAGTGGAACAGGTGACCTTCAGCACCGCCCTGGCAGGGCTCACGGACCACCTAGCGGTGGGCCTAAGGCTCCGCGTGTCGGCGCCTTCGTGACAGGTGCGCTACATGGAAACACTGACGCTGAGGCGTGTATGGAGTCGGCCACGCGGACCCAACGATGGGCAGCTTCAGCATCTTTAATGGGAGCCTTACACAGCCTCCTGAGCCCGGCGGTACTCGTACACGCTGCCGCGCTCCGGGAAGGCTGGGGCCTGTGGGGGCGACCCTGGTGGGGGGGCTGGGTCCTCGGGGTCTCCGTAACCGCCCCCACCAGGGGTGTGGAGACAGAACACGTCCTGTGAAGCACAGGGGTGTCTGAGCGCAGCACCTACTCCGCCGCCTCCCATAAAGCCCCCTCCCCTCCCCACCCACCATGATCGAGGGTGTCAAATTAAACTCAGCCTCTGGTTGTTTTCAACTCTCTTCCACCCTCTGTTGGGTGGGGGCCCAGGCAGACCACAGCCCTTACCCCAGGGTACACAGACACCGACGTCTTCCCACCTAGGTTGACAGTGCGCCCATCCTTGCGGATCAGCAGGTTGAGGCCTCGGTCTCCCGGCTCACCCCCTATGGGGAGAGGCAGGTGTGAGGTGGCCAGGCAGCAGGGAATCGGGACCAGCTAGCATGGAGCCAGAGTCTCTGTGGGGTGGAAAGGGGCCAGGAGGGGCAGAGGGGTCTGGGTGAACGCCACTCACCGTGGAGGCCGTAGGGCCGGAAGGCGCGGCGCTCCGTCAGCACCGACAGCAGCGCCTCCTCACAGAAGAGCAACTCACGAATGACGCCATCACCACCCCGGAAGCGGCCACGGCCTCCAGAGCCCGGCCTCAGCTCAAAGCGGCGCAGGACTACCGGGTACCTGCTCAGGCAGAAGGCGTTGAACACAGCGCTGCGGGGAAGGAGCTGAGTGCCAACAATCCCTGGCCTCTGCCTTGGCCACGCACACCCCAACTCCCTGCCCCTGCCCCAGCGCCCTCACCGGCTCTCCAGGATCTCGGGGTCGGTGATGCGCGTGTTGGTCATGTGGCTGTGCACACCGCTGCGCCCGTGCCAGCCGGGACCCGCGCCCGCACCACCTGCCACTGTCTCATAGTACCCCATATGGGCATTGCCCAGGGTCACGTTGTTCATGCAGCCCTGGGAGAGACAAGGGACACACAGACAACACAGCCTCAGCCGCTTGGGCTTGATACATAATCCCGCCCCTTCCCCCCACAGTCCCGCCCACTCCGGGCCCCACCTCACCTGGGAAGCTGCACAGGCCCCAAAAGCCCCCAGGATGACGTCGACCACACGTTGTGACGTCAGCACGTTGCCGCCAACCACTGCCGCCTCAGGGGACGGGTCCAGGATGGAGCCTCGTGGAATCACAACTCGAACTGGTGCCAGGCAACCCTGTGGAATGTGATTCTTAGGAAAAAAGTGGGCGTGGGGGGTCAGGACTGGCTTCCATGGAGCTGGGAGCCCGCATACCTGGTTGAGAGGAATGTCGCGGCCCACCAGACAGCGAAGACAGTAGATGAGGGCAGAGAGCGTGATGGCCCGAGGGGCGTTGAGGTTGCCAAACACCTCAGGCCCAGTGCCACTGAAGTCAAACACCGCACTGCCCTGCAGGAAAGGGGGCAGTCAGGAGCCGGAGTCAACCCCCATGAGCCCTGTGTGGACGCTGCCCTGGGGCCTGACCTGACCCAGGTTGATCTGCACCCGGAGTCGAATTGGGGAACCGTCATCCATGTGGTCCTCAGCTGACACCTCCAGGGGTAGGCCCCGGGCTTGTCTGGAAGTCCCAAAGGCACGAAGCATGTCCCGAACGGCCAGCTCAGCATTCGCCTGTCATGGAAAGTCCAGACGAGAGTTCCACCTCTGGGTGACACCAGAAAGTACCCTTCAATGTCCCTGGCCCTGCACCAAGCCTACCTGGATGTGGCCCATATAGGCCTGCACCACGTCCAGCCCATACTGCCCGATGAGCTCCCCCACCAGCTGAATGCCCTTCTGGTTGGCTGCCACCTGGGCACGGAGGTCCGACAGGTTATCATGGAGGTTCCGGGTCCCACTGCAGCCTGAGATCTTGCCTGGTGCCCGCAGGGCCTCAGTCACAGCTAAATTTAGAACAGGGAGGCACCACTGAGCTACCCTCCGGCCCCCCAGGGCACCTCCATGCCCATGCACCACCACCCCCATGTGGTCCTTTTCTGTGTCACTTACCCCTCCTGCCTCCACCTCTACCATATGCCAAACCTCCCTCCACACCCCAGCACCCCGGGGTGCCCTAGGCTGTAGCCAGCAGCTTCCCCTCTGCACTTATTGGAGCCAGAGAGCCCCGGGGAGGGTAGTCCCTCAGCAAACTCCCCTCCCCATTTCATCTCTCCTGCTGCTGGCAGCAACCTGACCCCTCCCCTCTCCCTCAACCATCTCCAGCCCTCAGGCTCCTGGCCTCTGTTTAAAGAGCATCCACATGGTCATCTGTCCAGTCCACCCTCTCACATCACTCTCCGCAGCCCGAGTTTCCAGTCCCCCAAAGACCATGGACAGGTGGGAACAGTTCCCTACCCCCTGGGGATAAGTGCCTCCAAGCTCCCTGGCCCCTGAGCACAGAACTCAGAGCCAAGGGAGTGGCCAGTCCTGGACCACATCCATATCCTCGGCACCCAGACAGCCTGAGGGTCCATTACTCATGGCCCCTGGCCCTGTGGCCATGTCTGCTCCATCAGTATTAGGGTCTCCACCCTCCAGCTGCCCCCAAGTCCCATCAAATGCTAACTGCAGCCACCACACCAGCTGCCCCTGCACACCGGGGGCAGGGGACATTGCCATCCCACTGACCAAGAGCTCAAACCAGAGCCAGGAAACTCTCTGAGAACTGCAGCCCCCATCCCCCGCCAGCCCCCAAAGCTGTTTCTCTGCAGCCCCCAGTGTCTAGAACCACTACCAGGAGTTCTGCCTGCTATAAAACCAACCCCACCCCCACCCCCCAACTCATCTCCCCACCCTCAGACCCTCCCACTCACCCTCCTCCTGGAAAACGCCCCCCTGGACGAGTTTGAAGGACAGGAAAGTAGCGCCTTCCTGCTGCAGCATGGTGGAGTGGGGAGGCATGGAGCCTGGTGTGATGCCACCGATGTCCGCATGGTGCCCGCGGCTGGCCACATAGAACACAGGCCGAGTCTGGCCTGGCCAGAACACCTGGAGGACAGAGCATGTGGTCAGCGGCAGCAATGGCCCCATCCCCAGGATGGCTGTGCAGCCCCCCTCACCGGTGTGATGACAGTCAGGTCTGGCAGGTGGCTGCCCCCTGCGACGGGATGGTTACTCAAAAGCACATCGCCAGGATGGAGGTCAGTCCCCAACTTCTGGATCTGAAACCAGAGGCCAGGCATGGAGCAGGGAGACGGGGAGGGGGAACAGGCAGGGACATCTGGCCAGGGAGCAGGGACGGGGCTACCAAACCTGGAATTGAACTGTCTCCTGCATGGCGCCCAGGTGCACTGGGATATGAGGGGCGTTAGAGACCAGCCCCCCGTCTGGCCCAAAGAGTGCACATGAGAAGTCCAGTCGCTCCTTGATGTTGGTGGAGATGGCTGTGCGTTGCAGGATACGGCCCATCTGCTCTGGGGACACAGAGTGACCAGGCGCCCGCTGGCCCCACCCACCCCACCGCAGGCCCAACCCTGAGGAGCAGGGCCCAGCAGCATTTCCTGGCCCTGGTGCGCAAGATAGCACAGTGAGGGACGGCCAGACTGTGGTGGCCCCTGGGACGCATGGAGGTGAGGCTCAAGCTCTCTAGAGCCAGCCTACCCCAACCTGAGAGTCCCACAGGTGAGTCCCCAGGCCATGCTGAAGCCCCACACCCACTGTCTCCCACACATCCCCTAGAGCTCCCCCAAGACCTCACCCAGACCAAGTATCCCTTTCAGGACACATCAGCTTCCTCCCCTGTCCTACCTGGAGCAGAAACCTGGCATCTCCATTGGGTCCCTTGGCCTGTCTGGAGCTCCCAGAAAAACCTGGGTCTGAGGCACTGAGCCCAGGGCCCAGACTCCCTGTAAGGCCCACCACCACTTCCTAGCCTACCTGGGTGAACTCAGGACCCTCCCTCCCCAGGGAGGGTCAGGGTCAGGGGGGTTCTTGGCCACTCTTGCTCTGGATGATACCCTTGCCAGCCCACCACATATAACCACTACCCACTTGTTCCACCCTGCGACCCCCGTCCCACCTCGGAGAGGGGCTGGGCCCTCGCAGCTGGGGGTTGGGGGAAGCACACACCCGCAATGCTCATGAAGCGGTGTGAGAAGATGGACAGCTGGATGGGGTCGAGCTGGGCACCCACTGTGCTGGGGACCTCGGCTCCCACGGAAATCCGGATGTCTCCCATCTCTGTCACCTCCGCTTGGCAGCCTGGCTCCACCAGGATAGTGCTGGGGATGGCAGACAGAGAGGCTGCAAAAGCCAGGCCAGACTACCCCCAGCCACGGGCCCCCCAACCCTAAGCCAAGGGATACCGTACTAAGGGACCCCCAGAAGCCCTGAGCCCTCAAGGCTTGGGTCAGAGAGGGGCTCCCATAGGCTGTCTCCTCGCAGCTTCGGCCCCAAACCTCACCCGTCCATGGCCTCCACCTGGCCAGCCCTCAGCCCACCTGTTGCTGTCGATGATGAGACAGGGCCCCTGGAGCTTGTGCCCAAAGCCCAGCTCTCCCAACAGGTACACGGGGGTCTCCTGGTAGCCCCCCTCAAAGTAGCACTGGGTCATCTGTGGAGGGCAGAGGGTGAGCGTGGCTCCTAGACCCAGCATCCTTCCTGGGGCCTCTCAAAGGGGCTCATGCACACCTACCCCTGTGTCCTGGGCAGGGCCACTCACCTTGTCCACCCGGGGAGGCCCAGTCTGGACTTTGGAGGTTTCCTCGAGGCGAAGGCCGCTGCGGCCAGTGCCCCTCACCCGGACATCATCCACCATCACTGGCCGCTCAGGGATGACGAAGCCAAACTCCCTCATGTATCTGCAGCATCACAGGTACCAAGGGAGACTCAGGGCAGGCTGCCAGCGGCCCGGAGGCCACCCCACCAGGCTCCTACAACGCGGAGCCCACGTACCTCTGCACAAAGGCTGCCCCAAAGTCACCGGCATGGGGTGAGCGGGCAGTGGCTGGATGCTGGTGGGCAGAGACCATCAGCGCACAGTCGGTACCCTGGTAGCGTAAGTGTAGGAAGCTCTCGGTGCTTATCTGGGACCTGCAGATGGGTGGATGGGCAGATAGGGACACTCCCACAGGGCTCCTGAGCCCCCGACCCAGTAACCGTTTTCCTCTAACCCTTCCACTTCCCTGTCTGAAGGCAGATGGAAAACCTGTGTGGGGGGCACTGGGGAGCCCTGGCTGTCTCACCCACCTGGGGAAGCCCTGGGCCCTCAGAGCATCCACGCACTGTTCCTCCAGACGGCCCAGCCTCTGGTCCAGCTGCACAAAGGTCTCAGGGCCATAGGGCAAGGCACAGGGTTCCTGGGCCTCGTGGACCACATCTGCCAGAGCTAACCCCATTGCCGACAGCAGCCCGCTGTGCCTGCAAGGAGGGAGGGAGGCCACCTTGGTAAACAGGCAGGGCTGTGAGGCAGTCCCATCCCAGGCAGGCACACGTGAGCAAAAACCCAGTCATACCTATGGATATGTACGGTGTCCATGCCCAGGGCCCGGGCGATGGCACAGGCGTGTTGCCCGCCAGCTCCCCCGAAGCAGGCCAACACATGGGCCGAGGGGTCATGGCCTCGCGCCTACAGGCCAAACGGGGTCAGCAGCCTCCCCTGTCCCATACTGCCTGGCCCCCCCGCCCCTCACCCATTCAGTGGCTTGAGTGAAGTGGGGGGGGGCGGGGGGCATACCTGCGTAAGTGCCCTGATGGGCCGGCACATGGCCTCATTGGCCACCCGCACAAACCCCATGGCTACCTCCTCCAGGCTCAGCAGGGCAGCAGGGCAGGGCCCATTTGCCAGGAAGCTGTTGACTTCAGTAGCCACAGCCTCTAAAGCCTTACAGGAGGCCTCGGGGGACAGCGGCTGGTCCTCTCCAGGCCCAAAGATGCAGGGGAAGGAAGCAGGTAACAGGCGACCCAGAACCAGGTTAGCGTCTGTCAGTGTCACGGGGCCCCCTGGAGGTGGACACAGGGTGAGCTTGGGGACGGGAGCCTGGAATGGAACAGGCGGGCAGGGACTCGGGGAGCGGAACCACAGCTGGGGAAGCTGGGACCTGCTGGACCGAGTACTAGCTCTTACCTTTGCGGTAACAAGCAGGGCCAGGGTGGGCTCCAGCAGATTCAGGCCCCACCACAAAGAGGCCCGACCTTGAAGGAAGGGAGACTTAGAATTGGACGTTAGAAGTGGGGAGGGATTGGGCTAGGGGTCTAGCCAGGTGGGGGGCTGACCTGAAGAAGAGGCGGGAGCCCCCACCAGCTGCTACTGTGTTGATGTCTAGCTGTGGAGCCTGGAGGGTGAGGCCAGCTGTAGTGGCCTCAAAGACATGTTCAAACTCTCCAGCGTAACGGCTCACGTCGGTGGACGTGCCTGGCAGAGAGAGAGGTGGGGGTTCACCCAGAGTCCCAGACGCCCAGCCTCTCCCCGCTGAGCCTTTCCCCGCCCCTAGCCCATGGCCTTCACTCATACCTCCCATGTCAAACCCGATGACCGGCTGACCCCCCTCGGCCCGGTAAGTGGTGGCTGAATAGCCAACCACACCCCCAGCGGGGCCTGAGAGGACAGCTCGGGAGCCGCTGAAGGCGTCCATGGGTGCCAGTCCACCGTCCGAACGCATGAACAGCACCTGTATGTCCTGGGAGTGAGGGGTCAGGTCAGGATGCGGGCAGTGGGCAGGTGGGCAGTGAGGGTCCAGGCAAGGTAGAGGGAGGGTGGGCGGGCAGGCCTTGCCTTGAGTTGGCCTTGGAAGCCGCAGCGGAAGCCCTGCACATATCGCTGGATGGTAGGCGTGAGGTAGGCGTCGGCACAGGCTGTGTGCCCCCGAGGTACAATTCGCACCATGGGCATGGCCTCAGAGGACAGCGCCACGTGTGTGAAGCCCAGCTCCCGGGCCAGCGCGCCCACCTGCTGCTCGTGCTGAGCCCACCTAGAGAGAGTAGCCTGTGGTGCTGCACCTACTGCCCACCACCCTCTATGTCCACTCAGCCCCCCGGCCCGCGCTCACGTGTAGGAATGCATGAACACCACGGCCAGGCTTCGGATGCCTCGGGCCAGGAGCCCTTCCAGCTTCCCCCGCAGGTCTCCCAGGTCCACAGGCTGCTGTACCTCCAGCAGATCCCCTGTGCGCCCTGCAGGAAGCCCACACGAGTCACAGGTGTCCATGGTCTGTGCCCACGTCCACCCTGATGCCAGCCGACGCCCACCTTTGACAGGTGTGCCAGCACCTGACTCGCGGCGATACAGCACCACGCGCTCATCTACCTCCAGCACCTCCGAGTACAACACCTCCGGCATGGGCACGGCCTGGGGGCAGGCAGAGGCTCGAAGCTGGTCAGGCCCAGGGTCCCTGGTGGGCTCCTGGCTGCTGGGGCAGTGTGGGCTCCAGGGGGGTCCACCAGGAGGGGCATCTGAGTATCCTGCCCCCACAAGAGCAGTTCCCTCCTGGAACTCAGGGTGTGGGAGTCAACCACCTCACCCCCAAGGTCTAAGACAGGATGTGATGGCCAAGAGAACACAAGGTCCCTGTACCCACTCTGAGGGCCTGGGTCTTGCTGGAAGTACCCATAACCTGTGTTCTGCCTATATCAGCTGCTGGCCTTGGGCCAACACTGACCCATCCTAAGGAAGCCTTCCCCCAGCCACAGGGGGACTCACCAAGTCAAAGAGGTCCCCACGGGCCTGGGTACCAATGTGCAGCAGGTCTCGGAAGCCTTTTGTCACCAGCAGCCCTACCCGCTCCCCTCGACGTTCCAATAACGCATTGGTGGCCACGGTGGTGCCCATGCGGATGCTGGCAATGCGGCTGGTGTCCAATGGCCGGTCCCGGGGCAACAGCACACCCCCCTCCTGAGGACAAAGGTCACTGTCTGCTCTGAGGCCCAGAATCTCCTCCCTGTCTCCTCAGACCCTGGCCCACCTGCTCCAAGATTCGGCGAATGCCCTCAGTGGGTGCATCTGCATAGTTGGCAGGATCCTCTGAGAGCAGCTTCAAGACCCGCACGTGCCCACCTGGGCACTGGGCGAACACATCGGTGAAGGTGCCTCCTCGGTCAATGGCGAAATGGAAGCGCCCCTCTGGGCTGCCCATGATGATGGGGCCTGCGTCCAGGAGTGATTCCTCTGCCTGCAGTCCTGGGAGCACTGGACAGAATGAGGGGAGCGGCGGCCTGGTCACCCACAGGCAGGGAGCCGACCTCTGAGCAGAGGCTCTGGCCCTTCAAGCAGCGTGGGGTAGGGAGAGAGGGCAGGGGCTCCAAATCCAGGAAGAGAGACCCTCGGGGACGACTCGCAGCGGAGCCAGTGCTGGGCAGGTAGGAGTGCGGCCTGTCGCCCCCATTACCGACTTCTAGTGCCCCTGGGCCGAAAGCCAGCGCCCAGAGCAGGCTTTCACAAGATGGAAGCGCCGCTGGGACCCTAAAATCCCTCTGGTTGGGGTCCTGGGTGCTTGTAGCAGGAGGAAGGTAAAGGACCTGGTGGTAGCTGCAGGCTGAGAAACCCCCTTCTCACTGGGGTCGACCTTCACCCCCCCAGGGGGCGTGGCCTCAAAACCACGACGGGGCGGGGCCGGGGGGAGAGCCGACAGGAGGCGGCTAGGGGAAGACCGTCTGGACGCCCTGCAAGGTGGCGGGCCACCCGACACACACATACGTACACACCTGGCAGAGCCCACCTGGCTTGTGGCTCCAGGTCTCTGGCGGTCGCTCCGATGCGTGCCCTGCGCCTGGGGAGGGGCCTGGGGTAGCGGAAGCAGGCCCGCCCCCCGCAGGACCGGTCCGGGCGCCCGCCGTGCGGGTTGCGTCAGCCCAGCCTGCCAGAACCGCCCTGCGCGCCAAGACCTGCCTGAGGACGCCGACTGGGCCCGGGCTAGCGGCTCTACCCCGCGGCCTGGTTCAAGGGCACCTTGACCATTTTGTGTCCAGGGAACACAGTGTTTCCCCCTAAAGCCCGACAAATCTGGACTGCGCCTGGGAGGGCAGTGGGGGCGCCACACGAAGGGCGGAATTAGGGGATCAGTAGGGGAAACGACGCGTTTCTAGGTACCCGCAGTTGTGTGTGCAGGCGCTGTGGGCAGGGGCCCAGCCACACCCACTGCAGCCGATACCTCCCCCCGACCCCACCCCGCGTTCACCAAGTCATCTCGACAGAAGGTGGCGGGCTCGTTCCCGAAGGGCAGAGCCACCTCTTCCTGCCCTGGTTGGGAGTGCGCCTGCGTGTCCCACTTGGCTGTGCGGTGGACGCGAGGCACCCCAGAACTTCCCAGGGAGGGCACAGCAGGTAAAGTAGCGCAGAAAGAGGGGGCTCAGGAGCGCTGCCGCCGGGACCCTTGTCTCACCTCACACCGGATTCCCCACTTCCCAGACCGGATTTCCCTCTTCGCCGCCCTTCCCCACCTCCGCGTGATCCCAAACCTCCATCCCCTTGCCCACAGCAGCTAAAATGTAAATTAGATCATGTAGCTGCGTGCTGAAAGCCCTAGGCTTCTGTGGTACCAGAATTAAGCTCGCCCGGCCTTCCACCCAACTCTGCACACAGTGGTCCGGTGGACCCTGCATGCCTCCATGGTCAATAAACTAGGTAAGCACGGGCATACTTGTGCTTACTTACTAATCTGTAGTAAACTGCTTCACATTTTTCACATCATAGATTCTGCTTCTAAAATGTGGATGAATGGAAAACTGATCTGTTCAGTAAACCTTCACCCAATTCACAGTAAATAGGTCTGGCTGGCATCTGTCTCTCTCCCAACCCCAAAGCACCTTCCTACAGACTCAAAGTCTCTTCTCACTGATAATCCCTGTTTCCAAATTGTGACAATCCCTGAAATCAGAGTACCCAGTAAACAGGCAACTACGGGCTCATTAATCTGTAGTGAACCATTTCACAGGCGATTCACCACATCTTTAATTTCACATTATTCACTACACAGTGGTAGTAAGCACAAGTAAACCTGGGTTATCCCAGGCGCAGCTCCACCCACCAGCACTCCGGCCCAAACCATGCCAACCCACAAGTTTCTGTCTCTCATCAACTATATCCAATGGGCCAGGACTATTCAATCTTCAGAATATGTCCTGAGTGGAGAGATGGTGCAGCTGGGGACTTTAGACTCAGAGAGGGAGAGGGGCTGTGTGCTGGGGGGAAGGGGGGCAGGCTTGTAGTGTATCCCCTTTGGTTGGTTGATGATGCATGGAGGGGATTGTAACCATGGCAATGAAACGATATATGATAGGATGACTGTAAAGCTAATGTTCTTCCATGTACACTATCTCCTGAGTGCCAGAAGAACTAGATGGTACCCAGCTACCTACCACTGCCAGCCTCCTCCAAAGGGATCATGTTAAAGGGTCCTGGAATAGAGTGGGAGAAAATATGGAACAAAACTTTAAATTATTTAATTAAAATAAAAAGATCCTGTTTACTAGTCAGAAAGAGATTGAAGGAACCTGAGACTTTGGCTCTTGACAACCCTTCAGTCTCTAAAGGAACTCAGCCTCATGGCCCAATTTTCAGCTGAGCAGTAGATAGCTTCATAGGGGGGACAACAAAACTAGTAAGGTCTGCTCACCAGGGAACGGTCAATCATTCAAAATCAAAAGGGCAACATTTTCCTAAGGACAAAGTTGAGAAGGACGGGAAGGTGGGTGGAATGGAAACAGGAACGACAAAAGGAAGTGGGATAGCTGATGGTGCAGGGAGGGGATGATGATCATTGTGATGAAACAGAGTGTGCGATTTGTTGAATGTAAAGCTGACGATCTAGTCTGTAAACCTTTACTCATTCACAATAAAAGTTTTATTGATAGTAAGTATATATTCTGAGTTCATGATCTGAATAAATGGAGAGATATCGGTTCTTCCCAACTCAATCTATAGACTCAATACAATCCCAGTCAAAGTCCCAGCAAGTTATTTGTGGATTTAGCAAACTGATTTTAAGGTTCAAGTGGAAAAGTAAAAGACCCAAAGTAGCCAACATGGCACCCAAGAACAGAGCTTCAACACTAGCTGGCTTTGGGCCTCAGGATAAAGCTACAGTGATCAGAAGGTGTTTGGCAGAGGAACAGAAACCAGTGGAGCACAACAGAGTCCAGAAACAGACCCATGTAAACACTGTCAGCTGACCCTAGGCAAAGGAGCAAAGATGATTCTGTAAAGAAAGGAGAGCGTTTTCAGTAAATGGCGCTGGAACAGCCAGGCATTCCCATACAGAAACCAAAACAAATCTAGACACAGAGTTTACATCTTTCAAAAACATTAACTGGAAATCACAGACCTAAATGTAAGATGCAAAACTATACAACTTCTATAAACTAACACAGGAGAAAACCTGGGTGACCTTGAGTTTAGTAATGCCTTATCAGACAGATACAACACCAGAAGTACGATCCATACAAGGAAAAGCAGTAAACTAAACATTGTTAAAATGGAAAACTTCTGCACATGAAAGACACTGTTGAAAGAATGAAAAGGCAGTCACAGATTGGGTGAAAATATTTGCAAAACACGTACCTGGTAAAGGACTTGTATCCAAGATGCAAAACAGCTCCTAAAACTCAAGAATCTGACGACATAACTGGAGAATAAGATGACAACGTGGAGGACATCGTGCTGAATGAAATGAGTCCATCACAAAGGGACAGGGACTGCCTGAGACCACTACTGTAAAAAGTCAAGACAAGGATCTCACTCTGTAATCAACTGTCTATGATGGTGACCAGGGGTGGGAGGGAATGCAGAATTATTCACTGGGTAGAGTGCAGACATGTGCTAACTTGGGAAGTTAGTTAAAAAGAAAAAGAAGCAAAAAAGGAAGGAAGGGAGGGAAAAGGAAATTGCTTTCTTTTCTTTGTACTGGGAGGGAAACAATGTGCATTTTCTCATTAAAAAAATAAATAAAAGAGCTTCCACATTATTTTCACTCTATGGCAGCATCTTCTCTGTTGCTATGACATGTTTTAATACAGCACAGTCTGACCTCTTATTCCATCTCAATTATTGTCTCTAATAACAGGGCCTCTATAATGAGGAATTATGATATTCAGAAGTGCTTTTGAAGACTTGTCTGATAAAGTGAATTAAAAAACAACTTCAACACAAATTTTAAAAAGAGAAAAGAGCTACATGGTCAGAAAGGACTAGAAGAACGTGACATCTGGCCTTAGAGCACCCGGCAGGTCGGGGAAGGACCTCAGCCTCGTGGGGAGGTGTGGGGGCCACACCTGTAAGCTAGGCTCACTACAGATGATGGAGAGGTCACTCATTCAAAATCCAAGGGCAGCATGTACCTAAGGACAAACACGAGAAGCGAAGGGAAGGCGTAGGAGCCACAGAGAGGAAGTGGGATGGCTGTTGGTCCATGGTGGTGGTGGTGGTGGTGTGCCGTGGAGTCGGTTCTGACCCATAGCGACCCTGTATGGGGTTTCTATGGCTGCAAATCTTTACGGGAGCAGAAAGCCTCATTTGTCTCCTGCAAAACAGCTAGTAGTTTCAAACTGCTGCCCTCGAGGTTATCAGCCTGACTTGTAACCACTACGCTACCAGAGCTCCTTGTTGTTACATGGAGGGAATTAAAATCATTGAGATGAAACAAAGTTTATTATTTTTTAATATAAAGTTAATGATCGTGTCTGTAAACCTTCACTTAATTCACAATAAAAAGTTAATGTGAATAGAGGTAAGTACTGTTAATTGAACAAACACCACACCAAAGAAGATACACACATAGCAAACATGCATGTGAGAGAACATTCAACATCACATGTCATTGTTGTTAAATGTCGTTGAGTCTGTTCTGACTCATAGCGACCCTATATAGGATTTCCAAGGAGCAGTTGGTAGGTTTGAACTGCTAACCTTGTGGTTCACAGTCCAGCGCTGACCCTACAGCCCCACACCAGGGGTCCATATGGAAGTTGCAAATCCAAACAATGATGAGGTCAACACTTTCAGAAATAATTTGAGAAGGATTAGCACAAGACTGGTCCCTATGAGGTGGAGATTAGAAATGTCCCAAATGTCAAAAGTTTCCAAACTGTTGTACTCTCATCTCTAACACCAACTATTCCTCTTCCCTTCAATACTTTCATTCCCATCTTAAGATGGGACTCACGAACTTCCAAGAATACAGCTCA